CAAGGAAGAAAGTACTTCGATGTGTACAGCACGTGATATAAGACAGGTTATGAGAAGCAAATAGACCTTATGAGGCTTTAGGTGATGGTCTCCTGCGACCAGTGTGAATGGTCCCGCTTCGTCTATACCGATGCGTGAAAAAGGCACAGCAGGAGTGACACGGCTGGCAGGAAGCGTCTGGTGTGGTGGGAGGGGGTAGGGACGACCGTTTTGTCTTTTGCATCCGATGCAGTTCTTTATCATCTTTCCGACACAGGCATGGTTTGGCCAGGGCCAAAACTTAACTCTCATCAGAGACAAGGTTTGGGAGCGACTGGGATGAAAATGAGAGACGTGATAATGTCGTAGCAACATCTGACACAAATGCGATTTGCCATCAACAATCCAAGGATGTTGAGACTCCGTTCCTACTAAAGGTATTCTGCCTCTCAATCTTAAGAGGCCGAACTCATCAACTACAATGTCTTTTTTACGTGTAAAAATGGAGGGGTTGTGTCGCCGTATAGTTAGTTGGTGGTACTGTATAGCTACGATTTCTGACATCTCGTTCAACAAAGGAGAACCATCAGAGACTTGCATCCGTAGCCAGGGTAAGGCTGACTGCAGCTTGTCTTGCAATTCTTTCTTATGGCTCAACTTCTTATGCAGCCAACGCATTAAGACTACTGCTGCTTTACACCTTACAAGATACCGACGCCAAGAACTCTTTGATACCGGATCTAATGGATCCGCCGGTGTTTCACGTATGACAAAAAGATGAAGGGAAGGGTAAGGAAAAGGAGAGACGAGTCCTTGAAAGTTATGACTATCGTCCGCCAACATGAAGTCTGGGCCCTTCCACCACAGATCTGAGCATTTAAGTTCCTCCGGGACCGAACCTCGAGAGGCAAGATCTGAGGGATTTAGATGGGTACGAACATAGAGGAATCTAATGGAGGAGAAAGATGACTTAAGTTTTTCAAAAATACATCTAGCCTTCTGCAGTCGGTTACGCACGTAGGTAGGAGAAGGTAGGCTGTCACCGTAGATCCAATACAATACCGTGTGCGAGTCCACGTAAAATGTTAAAGTGGAGGATAGTGAGGACAATTGCGAGAGATGTGTCAGGACCATTTTCATCCCCATGAGGAATGCCGCTAATTCTAAGCGAGGTGTCGTAGCCTTAGGAGCTAGGAGGGTCTTAGCTGCGACTAAGAATGAGCGGGTACCATCATGTAAGTACAGACACGAGCCCAAGGCTTGAAAAGAAGCGTCAGTAAAAACCGTTATCTTTTTTGATTGACAGAAAGTTAGTGTTCTAGGGATGGGAAAGGAGAGAATAGAGGATTTTAGATTCTCCGCGTGTTGGAACCATTGCCTCACTTCTTCACTACTTACTGTGCAGTCATATTGCCTCGCTTCAGGCCATAATTTGTTCATATGCAGTCTGAGAAGTAGAAGTGCCGGTGACCATAAACCTAAGGGATCGAAAAAAGAGGCCAAGACACTAAGAGCTTCCCTGCGGGTTGCTGTGGACGTGATGTGGAAAAGAGGAGAGGGGATGGTAAACGTATCAGACACGGAGTCCCACGTGAGGCCTAGAAAGCTGTTCACTGAACGCTTGCAGTGAAGCTCCTTGTCTAAATCTTGCAGGCTACGGTTATCGTTCGACACGAACTCTCTTAAATTCATTCCCAATTCCTTGAAGATAGCTATACTGTCATGTGCTCCTTCCTTCAACCTATCCAGCGAATCCTCTGCTAAGAGCAGGTTGTCTACATACATGCGAGAAGGAATACTCCGCGCCACTGGTTGTGTTTTGTGTTTTAGATGGAACAGAATAGATGCGGATAAGAGAAAGGGGGAGGAAGTGACACCAAACGGGAGACGAGTATGCTGTAACTCGATGATGTTGTTGGGATGAGGAGGACACGACGGGTCTTTTAACCAGAGTATCTTAGTGTACATGCGATGTTCGGAGTTTACCTCTACCTGATGGAATGCTTTCTCTATGTCCGCTACTGCTACATGTGGTGATGTACGGAAAACAAGAAAGAGGTTTAACAAGTCAGGGATAAGACTGGGTCCTGGTAGCAACAAATCATTGAGAGAAGGAGACTCAGACTGATGTGAGCTGGCATCGAATACTATTCTCACTCTTGTGGTGGCGGACGAAGGTTTTAGTACAGCCGAATGAGGTATGTAATAACCTACGTTACTTGGACTAGAAGACGATTCGAGAATACCTAGTCTCAGTTGATCGTTAATGATGGTTGTATAATCGTTCCACAACGTAGTGTTCCTATGTTTGTTATAGAGATGGTGAAGTCTACATTTAGCTACGGAATAGTTAGATTTCAATGATGAGGGAGGGGACACGAAGGGAAAGGATACTGACAGACGACCAGAGGCCGACTTGTTAACCGATGCGTGGAACTTCTCCCAAGCCAAACTGTCTGTAGTCTCCTTGGAGTCGATGCCATGCAAGAGCTCGTCATCGGTTTCATGTTGAGGACTGGCAATAACATTAATGTGGCAGTTGGTTTCTCCTTTTTTCCGGCTCTGTCCGCAGATAATGGGACCTAGTTCGGATTCATACAGATGAAGTCCCGAAGATAATTGCGTCACAATAGCTTTACCTAAGGTTTCGGAGATAGCATCCACTCCCAATATCAGTGCAGGTGTTATTTCGCCACTGGGAAGGAAGGATACGTCAATATGTTTGGTTTTTAAGTAAAGGAGGTCAGGAGGACTGTGTTCGGGTAAGTAAAAGGACCCTATAAGTTCCGTTACTCCCACACAAGGTACTTCTAGTATCGAACCGTCTTGACGGAGCAAAGCTAAAGAATACATGTTGTATTCGCGCGCAGGCGCAGTGCCTCTGAACCCTGAGAAGGACAGATTAATTCTCCCTAGCTTCTTGAGATCCATATGAATCGCGGCTGCCTCTAATATGAGAGAACGTTGAGCACCCGAATCAATTAATGCCGTTATGCTACGAGGACGAGAATGATGTACTTGTAATCGAGCAAATGGAAGACGGTTGCTAACTTCCATGGGTGATTTGTCATGAAGATCTACCTCCGTATGAGCACATACATTGATGGATGTAAAAGTTTGTGATGGAGGAGTAGGCGGTACAGAGCTACAAAGTAAGACAGAGTGATCTCCGTTACAAAGAGGACAAGCAGGAAGAGAGCAGCTGCGAGATCTATGATCATCTGCAAAACAGATCCAACAACATGGCCTTTTGATGCTCAGTAAGTAGCATCTACGACTGGAAGGACTAACGAAATCAGGACAATTAGCGGAAGAGTGTGCTTTTCTACAAAAGAAACAAGTGGAATCATCTCGAGGTACCTTGCTTCTACCTGAGTTAGTCAATTTCTTACTCGAGTTCTGAGGATGTTCGTGTTTCGG